GACTGTGCCTGTCTTAGGTTGTTCCTCCCTTGAGGAATCTTACCCGTCTCTGGCTAACCAGTCATCTTCCGGGGCCATACAGGGAAATGTAAAGTTGGTAAGTGAGAGAGAAGCCATATTGTTTGCAAAGGTTAGCTTTTTACTTCTTTGCAGATTTATGCCCTGTGGCTTCTATGCCCAGCATTTGTCTTGAGGTATCTTTACCACTTGGAAGAATTATGATACTCGGTGTTAACCATATTATTTTTAAGTGGGATAAGAGAACTGAAAATACTTTTCTTGCTACCTCCAGGGAAAGTGATGAGTGTTCTGTTCCATAGTTTGTAGTTTAGGTATCCTCTGAGTGTTAGGTCTTAAATGTTTTCTCTTCCCTCTTGCAGGGATAGACATATATGCTAAATCTACTTTATTCATTTGGGGGATTTGCTCATTCTCTTTTCTTTCAGGATAATGGCAGTATTTATATTTCATGTGTTATGTATGTTTATATGTGTAAGTATTAAGCATGTCAATAAAGTATAGACACTTTTTTTGATCAGAGGGGACACCAGCTGGAACCTGACCTATCTGAAGAAGTGTCATCCCGACTCCGCCTGGGCAGTGGAAGCAATGGGTTACTCAGGAGGAAGATGTCAATACTTGAGACAAAAGAAAAAAATTGCTTAGGCAAAGAGAGGGATAAAAGGACAGATGATCTTCTTGAACTTACAGAGGTATTGTTTCTTGTGTTGATCAGAATAAGAGGCAGGTTTTTTAATAACTTCAGTTATTCAAGACTTAATGAACGTTTTATTTTGAGGAGTTATCCAGACTAGGGATGAGTGTATTAAAAGAAGTCAGGCCCCAGGTTACATTAATCATTAGTGATCTGTGAAGATGGCCCAAGAGATCAGATTAATGTTCAGCAAATGTGAATAGATATAATTGTCACATATGTGGAATATAATGGGTTCTTTGTAGATTCTCTTCCTACCCTTCAAATATTCTGGATTCCATAGTATGGGCTTGGCATTAGTAATGAATTTATTGCATTTTTTAAAGTGATTACTGTTTACAGTGTAGCAAAGAGAAGGCAAATAGTGAATCTATGGCATCTTACTACACTGATGGACAGTGACTGCATTGGGGGGTGGGTTGGGACTTGATAATATGGGTAAATGTAGTAACCACATTGTTTTTTCAAGTGAAACCTTCATAAGAGTGTATATCAATAATATCTTAATAAAAAAAAGTGATTACTGTTTACTAAAATGTCCCTTTCATTGACTATTGCATTTGAAAAGAGTAAAAACTTAGAGAAAACAAGGAACTGAAGGTAATTAAAAAGTATCATTTTAAAGGTGAGCACACATCTTCACTCCTTTGTCTTAGTAGGTAATCAGTCCAATTCAGTGAATATGTCTTGGGCACTTATATATATTGGACATCAGGTGGAGAGATCCATACAACAGCAAAATTGTGTATAGTGGGGGGAAAGCAGTATTAAAAATACTTGGATGAAAATAATTTCTGTTGGGTTTATAGAATCAGTCTTGTAGCTTAAGTATGCATTTATCTGTATAAATTCTTTAGAATAACAAAACCATCTATTCGAGGAGGACTCAGTTGCTAGACTTGCTGGGTTTTTTTTTTCCAGTTTCTGCCTATTTACTTATTCTTTTCATTTCAGAAATGGGTAATATGGTCTCTTAGGTGCCCTAATTTTATTGCTTTGATTTTTTTATTAAGACATCATTGATACACAATCTTATGCTCAGGTTTCACATGAGCAACATTGTGGTTACTACATTCACCCATATTATCAACCCCTCTCCCCCACCCCATTGCAGTCACTGTCCATCAGTGTAGTAAGATGTTATAGAGTCCCTGCTTTGATGTTTTTAAATAACAGTTTAGGAGGTAAATAAGGAAAGTATGAGCATAACTTTTATACTATTGTGAAAGGAGCAAAGGCTAGAAAGTTAGACACTCCTGAGCTCAAATCTTGGCTCTTCCTTTTAATAGTTGTATGACTTTGAGCATGTAATCTGAATTCTCTTAGCTTTGCCTTTTCCATAAAATGCTGATACTACTTTCCCCACAAACAAGGAACCTGACCTATCTGATCAGGTTCTGGGCGTCAAGCATCTGGTACCGTTTGGCTCATAGTGCTCAATAAATGATGGTGGGGTAATTGAAACTATATATATATGTAATGTTACTCGCAAATTATTGTTTCCAGAAGGTGATAATTGACCTAACATTTTTTATAACCATTAGTAAGACTGCTTTTTAGTCCTAGGTTTAAATGTTTTAATACTTCAGTTTAAGTATTTGATAGTATGTTTTTCTCAAGGGTCTGGTATTACAGAGATGAAAAGCTTCTTTCAGTCTCAGACTTTAATATCTGTTAGTGGTTCTATATTAAAATAGCAACTTCTGGAATTCCTAATTCAGGACATGGAAAAGGAAATCAGCAATGCCCTAGGCCATGGCCCACAGGATGAGATCCTAAGTAGCGCTTTCAAATTGCGAATTACCCGAGGAGACATCCAGACCTTGAAGAACTATCACTGGCTCAATGATGAAGTAAGCTGTCTTTTTTTGTCTTTTCTGACTATCATTATGCTTAAGCACTTACTATCCATAACCAAAGTGATTTCTACCCAATTTTAAGGGGTTAGATAAGGCAGCTTTTAGTTTTACTTAAAACAAAAACATCTTAAAACTTACAAAATGGTCAGTTATGACTGTTTGCTGCCTTTAATGAACAGTTTCCCTCTTCTGCACCTGTTATTCCTTTCATCCACCACTTCATTTACTAGTTTTCAGTGACAAAATATAAACCCTGAGTGCAGCTGATGAATGGAAGGAAGTAGCTGATAATATTTTATTTTAGATGAATTCTTATAGGAGCCATTTTATTTTTTCAATAATAAAGAGAGATATTGACCACTATACGTATACCATTTGTCTTTAGAAAAATTTTATTTGGGTGGTAACTGCAAAAATGTTGTGTCCTTACATGTTTAGCTAAAGCTAGCCCTTAGTTCTTGTCAATTTTCCCGTTGGTCCTTCCCCCTACTGCTTGGTCTCTACATTTTCTCCCTTTGCCTTCCTTCCCCTCTCCGTACCATGATGAGTGACACTTAAAAACACATTCTTATAAAACTAGAATGTTTTGGTTTATGTTTATAAATGTTACATGTTTATTATAGAAAATTAGGAAAGTATAGGAAAAGTGAAAGATAATATTGTTTGAAAGTGTCACCACTCAAAATTGAACAATATTTTGGTAAATTTCCTTCCGGTTAATATTTTTAAGTTGAGGTATAATTTATAATGCAGTAAAATTCACTTGTAGTTAATATTTCTGCATATTTTTTATGTGCTCAGTTTCATACATCTTTTCATTATTGCAGACTTTCTCCTTGAGTTCCTTCTTTTGGCTGTCTTAACTCATATGCCTTAAAGTAGTTTCATTCCTTCTTAATCCCTGTCATTTTGCATTGATCATTTTTGGTTCCCATCTTTCTGTCATAGACAGTCCTTTTATCCCTTCTTTAGTACCTTCCTTTCCCTGAGCATCTCACCTTCTAGTTTTTTTCTGATTAAGCTAGGTAGGAATTCAGTTTTGTTAACATGCCATGTTTTGACATTTACTGTCTTGATATTATAGGTCATTAATTTTTATATGAATCTTCTGGTGGAAAGAAATAAAAAACAAGGATATCCAGCACTTCATGTGTTCAGTACTTTTTTTTACCCCAAATTAAAGTCCGGGGGTTACCAAGCCGTGAAAAGATGGACCAAAGGGGTTAGTCTCTTTGAACAGGAACTTATTCTGGTGCCTATTCATCGGAAGGTACATTGGAGCCTTGTGGTGAGTTGAGAGGGTTAATTGGTGGCATTTGGATAAAGACTATTTTCTTAAATAATGAAGGCTACCCTTTTCTGTCCTGTGAAAGTCCAAGAGTGTATGTTAAAGGCATGTTCTGCAGAGTCCCTTCCTGGTTCTAGGATTGAACAATTTAGAAAGCTAGATTTAGTCTTGTATCTGAGGAGCTTTTTTTTTTGAGGGAAAACATTTTTATTGAGGTAAAATCCATGAATCCATGCAATATGAAAATGAACCATCTTAAAGGATACAATTAAGTGGCATCGAGTACATTCACAATGTACAACCATCACTTCAAATTCCAACACATTTGCATCACCCCGAAAGGAAACACATACCCATTAAACAGTCATTCTCCATTTTCCCTTCCCCCTAGCCTCTGGCAACCTCTAATCTACTTTCTGTTTCTGCAGACGTACCTATTCTAGATTTTTCATGTAAATAAAATCATAAGTATGAAATCTTTTGTATCTGGTTTCTTTCACCTAACATACTGACTTTGAAGTTCATTACTTTGTAGCATGTACCCTACTTCATACAGGAAGCCATTCAGGGCTCATTTTTATGGATGAGGAGCTTTTGTTTTTAACAGGAAAGAGTTTTAACAGGAAAGGGTATTTAGTACGCTTATGGGTAAATGGGTATTTAGTATGCATATGGGTTTTGTTTATGAGATGGTACAGATTTATTGCAGAAAAGTAAAGGTATAAAGAAAAAAGCAAGAAAATATCTTATCACTCTGAGAGGACCACTGATGTTTTGGTGCTTAAGTTTCCAGACCTTTCTCTAAGAATAGAAATAGATAATTTTATAGAAATGAGGCTTGTATCATTTATGCCGGTTTATAAAAATATATGTCTTAGAAATCCATTCATGTTGGTACAAGTCCTGATTTTTTAAAAGATGCTTTTCTTTTTGGAAATAAAACTCTCACTTCTGTTATAGTTAAGATATTTCTGGATGTTGCATTTTTCCATTATAGGTGATAGACCTCAGAAAAAGGTGTCTCAAATATCTGGATTCTATGGGACAAAAGGGCCACAGAATCTGTGAGATTCTTCTGTAAGTAAAGGCTGAAAAACTTCACCTTGTTAAGTGTTCTTCTTCTGTTTAATCCTATGAGACTCTGGTGATGGTAATTGTTGTCTTCTGTATAGTCAAGGTTGTCTTCTCATTGTTTAGGACCTGAAACTTGAATCCATCTTTTTGTTTAAAAATAACCTAATATCTAATCTTAACTGAGAAGTCTTGCTTGGTAGCATCATTGAAAACAAATTTGTTGTGTGTGATAATGTAAAATCTTATCTTATTTAGAGTCCTGTGATTTCAATTAGAGTTCTTTGGGATTGATACATTACTCTGAATGTTCTAAAGGAGTGTTAGCTGGGGAGTATTATTCCTCCCTTAATACCACTCATGTCTCTATGTTTTCCATGATAGTAGGGTTCATCTCATAGTATCCAGAAGCAGTTTTTAAATTAAAGATATGGTTTGTAGGCAATTATTTGAAGTAGTAATTGCTAGAAACCTGCCTTTAAAGCATAGCCACTTGTTAGCTATGTAAAGTGGTGACAGATTTCACAGTGAGGAAGCAAATCAGTGAGACAGTTTAATTTGAACCTTGTTTGCTCAGTAGAAGCAAAAAGAGGTTCCTATTTTTAATTTTGGTATGGATACTTGGATAATTTTAATAGATACTTTAGTAAGGCATTTGTTAAATTTAGGATAGGAAGAAAAGTTGTTATTAACAATAATTAGTTCAGTTCTCTCTTTTTTGATAATGTTTTAGTGCAAAAGATTTTTATTTATGGGTGTTTATCTTAAAAAGTTTAGAGGAGAAATTTTTAAAAATCATTAAGACACACCAAATTGTTTATAAAGCAGTTATTTTCTTCTAGTCTTTTCTGTTTAAGATACATATAAAACATTGCATGCACATGCATATATATTATTACATGCATAGAAATGTTCTCATTGGAATCATACAACTAAATTTTGTTTTTTACTTAAAACAATACAAATCATACTTTTATCTTTTTCTTTTAAGTATGAAGTGTTCAGCTCCTGTTGTATCTGAGGCCTAATACTCCCTTTCCTGGTGCTCCTAGTCCATCTTTTCTCAGCTTTTTTTTTATTATCACTCCCCTCCCTGATATCCCACCCCTGCAAAAAGTTTATTTTAATTTCTCCATGACAAGAGAAAGTAATACTAAAGAATAAGACTTTTCATTTGTGGTTGGACCTTTAGAGGACTACAAACCACTGGAATTCAAGATTTTTGCCCTGCAGGAACCAGTTTTCATCTCCAGGGGGGCGATATTACCCCCATTGAGAGGTCCTGCCCTGGTGTGAGGCTGGCTTGCCTTCCTTGCAGGTTAAGATGAGAACTGAGATGTCTGTGTTAAATTTGATAACCCTCTGAAGATTTGGATAAAATGCATCACTCTTAAGTGTATACCTCCTAAGAATAAGGAAATTCTTTCAAATAACCACAGTGTCATTATCATTTAAGAAACTTAGCAATCAGCAGTATGTTATATATGGTTCATGTACTGATTTCTTTGGGTATCTTACATAGTTTTTTTTCTTAATACAGGAAGCCATTCAGGGCTCATGCATGTACTTAACGTCTCTTTAGTCTCCTTTAATTTAGAATATTCTTCCTGCCTTTTTTTTATGTTTCATGGCAGTGGCTTTTTTTTTTTTTTTTNACTTCTGGAATGGCTCTTATATTTTTTTGCATTTTATGCATTTTAATTTTTAAAGATAAGCATGTACAATTTTTTTTATTAAGGTATCACTGATATACACTCTTATGACGATTTCACAAGAAAAACAATGTGGTTATTACATTCACCATTATTGAGTCCCCTGCAAAACCCCATTGCAGTCACTGTCCATCAGTGTAGTAAGATGCCACAGAGTCCCTATTTGTCTTCTCTGAGCTACACTGTCTTCCCGTGACCCCACACACACCATGTGCACGTATCATGATACCCCACAATCCAATCCCCTTCTCCCTCCCTCCACACCTGCCCTTCCCAACCCCTCCCCTTTGGTAACCACTAGTCTCTTCTTGGAGTCTCTGAGTCTGCTGCTATTTTGTTCCTTCAGTTTTGCTTTGTTGTTATGCTCCACAAATGAGGGAAATCATTTGGTATTTGTCTTTCCCTGCCTGACTTATTTCACTAAGCATAATACTCTCTAGCTCTGTCCATGTTGTTGCAAATGGTAGTATTTGTTTCTTTCTCATGGCTGAATAATATTTCATTGAGTATATGTACTACATCTTCTTTATCCTTTCACCTACTGATGGACACTTAGGTTGCTTCCATATCTTGGCTATTGTAAATAGTTTTGCAATAAACATAGGCATGCATATGTCTTTTTGAATCTGAGAACTTGTTTTCTTAGGGTAACTTCCTAGGAGTGGAATTCCCAGGTCAAACAGTTTTTCTGTTTAAGCATGTACAATTTTTATTTTATTTTATTAAGGTATGGTATCATTGAACACTCTTATGAAGGTTTCACATGAAAAACATTGTGGTTACTACATTCACCCATATTATCAATTCCTCCACACATCCCATTGCAGTCATTATCCATCAGTGTAGTAAGAAGCATGTACAATTTTTATAAGCAGAATAAAACCCCCAAAATTAAATTGAAAAACCAAAAGCAATCATGTTTTTGAAAAGCGAATGGGGGTGGATTTGAGAATGGTGTATCTGTTAAGACATCAAGTCTTTTTTAATCATAAGGGTAAGTCTCCACAGGAACTCACCAATATATTCCTTCTTTGCTGTTTTTTTAGTCAATATTTACAGGATGAAAGTAAGACCAAAAGAAATATTGATCTGAATCTTTTAGAATGGACCCACTACAGCATGAAGCCACACGTAAGTGATGACCATCCATATTTGAAATACTTTGTTGGAGTTACTGACAATGGCATGTTTTGAAGATTTGGCTTCCTTTCTTCCCTCACTAACTCATATCCTTATGTGTGCATTCTACTGAAGTGTACGTCTTAAGATGATCCACTTCTAAATCTTTAGAAATTCGTTTAACCAAGATGTTTGCTTCTTAGTCTTTATCATCATGCTTAAATTATAAAGATTAACTATAGCTTGTATGTCTCTCAAAAAATTGAAGAAAGTAAGAAAAAAAACAATAAATTCAAGTTAGCTCATTTTCTTGGTGCTAATCAATGTTTAAAGTTCTTGTTTAAAACTTACCTGGGAATTTTGTTTATTTAGGTCTTAAGGGTCCTCCTTAAGAGTCAAGTGTACTATTTGTGCATGTGCTTTGTATCTTACCAGATTTCAATCTCATTCAGGATGTGAAAGTGCATACTCTTTGAGTGCTAATGGCTTTTTTTAAATTGAAGTATCACTGATATACAATCTTAATTAGTTTTAAGTACATAACACAGTGGTTCAACAGTTACCCATATTATTAAATCTTCACCCCCACCACTGTGGTTAGTACCTGTCAACATAGAAAGATGTTACAGAATCATTGGTTATATTCTCCATGCTGTACTACTACCCTGTGACCAACCTATGTTATGATTGAGAATTTTTGTGCCCCTTTATCTCCCTCAACCTTTCCACCCACCCACCCCTTCCCCCTTTCCCCCTCCCCCCTCCCCCTTGTAACCACCAGTCACTTCTCAGTGTCTGAGTCTACTGCTGTTTTGTTCATTCTGTTTTGCTTTGTATTTATATTCCACAAATAAGTGAAATCATATAGTATTTGTTTTTCTCTGTCTGGCTTGTTTCACTGAGCATAATACCCTCTAGATCCATCCATGTTGTTGCAAATGGCAGGATTTTTTTTTAATGGCTGAATAGTATTCCATTGTGTCTATGTACCGCATCTTTTTTATCCATTCATCTATTGATAGACACTTTGGTTGCTTCCATTTCTTGGTTATTGTAAATAATGCAGCAGTAAACATAGGAGTACATATATCTTTTCAGGTCAGGGATTTTGTTTTCCTTGGGTAAATTCCTAGGAGTGTAATTACTGGGTCGAATTGTATTTCTATTTTTAGTTTTATGAGGAACCTCCATACTGCTTGCCATAGCAGCTCTACCAGTTGACATCCCACCAGCAGTGTAGGAGGGTCCCATTTCTCCAGATCCTGGCCAGCACTTGTTATTTCTTGTTTTGGATAGTGGCCATTCCAACTGGTGTGAGGTAACACCTCATTGTGGTTTTGATTTTGCATTTCCCTGATGATTAGTGATATGAAACATCTTTTCATGTGCCTGTTGGCCATCTCTGTTTCTTCTTTGGAGAAATGTCTGTTCAGGTCCTCTGCCCATTTTTTAATCAGGTTGTTTGGGGTTTTTTTGCTGTTAAGACATAGGAGTTCTTTGTATATTTTAAATGTTGACCCCTTATCAGATAAATCATGTACAGATATATTCTCCCATACTTTAGGTTGCCTTTTTGTTCTACTGATGGTGTCCTTTGCTGTACAGAAGCTTTTTAGTTCGATATAGTCCCACTTGTTCATTTTGTATTTTGTTTCCCTTGCCCGAGAAGATGTTTCCAAGAAAAAAATTGGTCATACTTATGTTCAAGAGACTTGCCTATGTTTTCTTCTAAGAGTTTTATGGTTTCCTGTCTTACATTTAGGTCTTTGATCCATTTTGAGTTTATATTTATGTATGGAGTTAGGCAGTAATCCAGTTCCATTCTCTTGCATGTAATTGTTGAGAATGGCTTCTTTTTAAAGTAGGATTAATGAATTCTGTTTTAGCTGCCCTAATCTATATATAATGGCTCATCTGTCTTTGCCAAAAGCATTTCCATTTCAAGTTGTGTAATTAAGAAGGTTAAGCTGAAATTTCCTCAGGAGAGCAGAGATATAAGAAGTCTGTAAGGATGAATACTATGTTCTGGTGGGGGAAATGTAACAAAGCAAATTCTCTCCCTTTGTATATTGGAGTCTATAGTTCTCTCCACTCTGTGAGAGCTTTTGGGCTTGGGAGAAGAGTGCTGAAGTGTATGGGTGGTGTGCATGTTCAAAAATCTTTTCTCTTTTATAATAATCATCTATATATTTTTTAATAAAGATCGAGCTGTTGTCATCTGGTATGTTTTCCAGCCGTGGGAATTGGAATCTCTTAGTCTCATCAGTTTGTGCTCATGAGTAACTGACAGCCAAGGCATATAAAGGGCTGGCCAAGATGAGTATGGGAGAGGCCTGGGGAGTGTGTGAATCTGCCTCACCAGGCTCAGAATCCACTTTTGGCTTACAATGCTTTTAGTGCTCTTTGTAGTCAGCCCTGTTGTCTCAGAACAGAACTGAACAATGGAGGGGAGATCCTAACTGGTTAATGACTGTCAAGAGGCTGCTTGCTTTCTCCTGCTTGCAGCTGTGAGGGTCCAAAGCAAGTCTTATTTTCCTGGCTAGAAAAATTAAACCTTGCAATATTGAAGTAGGTTTATTATATTATAAATATATTTGTGATTGAGCCACACTTAGCCCTTTTCAAAATTTATAAATGCTTCTGAAATAATTCTGACTAGAATTCCTGTTCCTGGTTAAATAAACCTTTCAGTTTGACTTCTTAGTATGAGAGCTGAGGGATGGAACTCTAAGTTTGCTTTTCTTTTCCTTTCTGAAAAAAAGTTTTTGTGGGGTCACATAACTGTTGGGCAGCTGCATCTGGGGAGGTCTCTACCTGTGCACTAGGTGAAACCTAAACCCAGACAAGGTAGGATTTTTGACTCTGACGGAGAAGGAATTCTTGACCAGGTTGGAGTGAGTGTAAGTAAGGAAGGAATCCATTAATGCAAGAGTGGAAGCGAATGTCAGCAGCCCTGCAGGCTATAGAGAGCAAGGAAGAACAGAGGGAGGAAAGGGAAGTTCATTGAGCTGCTCTGTGTACAGCAAGTACCATGACAACTCCTAAAGCCAGGGTCACCTGGCATCCCAGTGTCTGCTTGAATCTGCACAGTGTGGAAACTAAGCCCCTATCACCCCAGGGGAGCCACAGAGCAGTGGATGGAGTTTATGTTCTGAGAACTTCCACTTACCCACTGGCCTGAAATAAAATAGGGAGAAGAGGATTGTGTTAAGACTAGAAAGCTGAAACAAACAGCAAAGTGACAAAGACATTTACCACCAAAGGTGGAAGTTTGAGAGTTCTTGTCTTTATTATGGAAAAGAGTTCAGAGACAAGTGCAATCAGCTTTGCAACAAGAAAGTTTGATATAAGACAGTATATATTCAGGAGTACAGGCGACCTCAGGAGGTACGCTTAAGAGTTTGGGGTTTGGGGTTTTATAGGGCGTTTTGGGTAGGGGTCAACATAAGGCATGATGTATACAGGTAATTCATAGTTCTTTGAAATTTTGTCTTAAGAATAGTTATTTAGGTGACTGTGTTGATCCAGATCTTGGCATTCTTTATCTACATAGGTTTCTGTGCTTGGAGGTCTCTCTCTTATTCTGGTTGCAAAGTTACTTAATTGATTTAGGGGCTGGAAGAAGAGGAAGAATAGTATATAGATTATGTTAAAGAGTAAGCTGGGGGCCCTTTTCGCAGGTAACTAGGTTTTACAATGGCATGACTTTTGTTCCATTTCTTTGCTCTGTCACAACATATTCTGTGTCATGTCATGGTTAGAGTGTTTATAGCACATAAAGACTAATTCTGTTTGTGTGCATGTTTGTGTATTTGTGTAATACCAGATTTAACGTTTACCCTTATAATATTGTTTATCCACAGAAATATTTAGGAAGAGTCCAAGGAGTTTGTAGTTAGTAAAATTTTACCCCTTCCTTCCTTCCTTCTTTTGTAACTTTAGGAGATTCCTCAACAGTTGAATGGGAGTGATTGTGGAATGTTTACTTGTAAATATGCAGATTATATCTCTCGGGACAAACCTATCACATTTACTCAGGTGAGTAGAGACCCCTCCTCCCTCCTCATCCACTTCTTTGTTATAGGACAAGATAGACTTAAGAGTGTTAACAGTGCCTGGCTCACGCTGAGCTTTTAACATGGTAGCTATGCTATTGTTTTTGCTATTAAACCTTGGCCACAGCCCTGCTCTTGCTAGCTAGCATCAGGGTTTGTTACTCTATCTGCTTTCAGATTTTTCCTAGTCTTTGGTGACCAGTGCATATGTTTGAACTCTGCTGTTCCCTGGTTCTTGAGTATTACCGATATTTTTAGCCAAAAAAGGAGGCATATAAGATTATGTAACAGCAAGGGGAAATCAGGCCTGTGAGACCTTGAGCTGCAGGTCTAAGATAACACTACAAATACTACTTATCCCCTTTATCCCTTCCGTTCTGGTTATTTTGGGTTCTCGATGGCTCTGTATTTTTTTTTTTTTTTGAGAGGGCATCTCTCATATTTATTGATCAAATGGTTGTTAACAACAATAAAATTCAGTATAGGGGGGGTCAATGCTCAATGTACAATCATTAATCCATCTCAAGCCTAATTCTCGTCAGTTTCCAATCTTCTGAAGCATAATGGACAAGTTCTTACATGGTGAATGAATTCTTACATAGTGAATAAATTCTTACATGGTGAACAGTACAAGGCATTCATCACAGAAACTTTCGGTTTTGATCACGCATTATGACCTATAAACAATCAGGTCAAATATGAATATTTGTTTGATTTTTGTACTTGATTTATATGTTGATCCCACATTTCTCCCTTTATTATTATTATTATTTTTATTTTTAATAAAATGCTGAAGTGGTAGGTAGATGCAAGATAAAGGTAGAAAACATAGTTTAGTGCTGTAAGAAGGCAAATGTAGATGATCAGATGATCAGGTGTGTGCCTATGGACTAAGTATTAATCCAGGCTAGACAAGGGCAGCAAGACATCCACGGATGCAGAAGATTTCTCTCAAAGCAGGGGGGGTGAGGTTCTGAGCCTCACCTCTGTTGATCCCCAAATTCTCACCTGATGGCCCCCCTGCGACTGTGCCTGTCTTAGGTTGTTCCTCCCTTGAGGAATCTTACCCGTCTCTGGCTAACCAGTCATCTTCCGGGGCCATACAGGGAAATGTAAAGTTGGTAAGTGAGAGAGAAGCCATATTGTTTGCAAAGGTTAGCTTTTTACTTCTTTGCAGATTTATGCCCTGTGGCTTCTATGCCCAGCACTTGTCTCGAGGTATCTTTACCACCTGGAGGAATTATGATACTCGGTAAATTCGATATGAGGCACGAATTCTATTTAAGGGTTGTAATTAGGAAGGAAGAAGAAAAGCTATAGATGTAGCATATGAAGGAAACTTGGGAGGATTGATTATTTCTTTGACATATCTTCTTGTATAGTACCTTAAGTATGTATAGGTTTTAAACTACTAACTAATTTGCACACACATATTAACATAATAGGAATACGGTGACATAAACAAAGCAAATCTATAATTACCAGCCATCTCCAGTGAAGCCAAGAAAACCATTTAGGCACCCTAGGCATTTGTGAAAATTTATCTATGATATGATGGATATTTTCCAACTGTACTTGAACCATCAGACAAATTAAAGCAGCCCATTTCTGGGATCTGTTCACATCCCATATGTTCTTTTAACCATAGATAGTCTATAGTCATGAGATTTTGGGGTGCTACAACTTGCACCCCTCCCAACTCCTGGTTGAGTTCCAACAGTACAGATCCAGTCAAATTCGTTGTCTCACTGTATGCACATGCCAGCCTAGACATCTCCCTCCTCATTCCTATGGCAAGTCCAGGAGATGGTGGGCTGGATGCAGCCACAACCGCAGCATCGTCCGGATCCCTGTGGAGGCTTTTTGATGATCATCCCCCGGCACAAGTCCTCCAGAGAGTGCTGATGCTGGAAGCTCCTCCTCATATCGTATCTTAGTTCATTTTCTGGGTATCCAAGCTAGGCCTTGATCTTCTGCATAGAAACAAACAGACCCTTTGCCCACACTTTGACATGTATGGCTCTGTATTTGAGTGAAATTCAAGTATGTTGGGAACTCTTGAGAATTTATGTTTGTAACATGGATTCTCAGCCTTTTTATAACCTAGGAAACCCCCTTTAAAAATGTTTCTTAAACATTATCATTTTGATAGATGGTGGCTACTAAATTGTGCTGATTGACTAGGACTAATAACCCCATTCCAAGATTTTGAGGAACATGAAGTAACTAGGGCTCCCACACTGAACTGATACAATTCCAGTCTAAAGTAAAGGCACTTACTAAATTGGAAGTTTTACTAAAAATACATTTTTTACCACATTTTGAGCTATTTAAAATAATAAGATTTTTTAGGTCCCTCAAGGTAGGAAGTCACTAATTTACTAGTTTTCCACGAGTAAAATGGTATATCCAACTTTTTATAGTCAGACACCAGGACTACCTCAAGGGTGTGAACTTCTTATTTCATCAGAGACCTAGTTGAGATATACATAGTTTTGGATTTGTCTTACTTGTTCCTTGTTGTGGATTGTGTTGTGTTGGTCCATGTTGTGATTATCAATTAAATAATACATTAAGCAAAGCATTCCAGTCTTTTGTGCTTCTAAATAACAAGAAATTATTTGTTCTCTGAACCTAACGACATGAGATTTGAACAGGCAGAAGTTACTATTTGCACAGAATTGGTAATATACTGCATTTGATAGAAAGAAATTTGTGGATTTGGTTTTTTATAAATTTAGATGCAGTTCATGTTTTTCTCATTAAAAAGTAGAATGTGTATATTTTGGAATGTTTTGAAAATACATGCAAGTAGAAAAGTTAACTTTTGTGCCATTGTTTGGATATTTCTATTTTTTGGTACATGTTTCTGTTATTAAGTTGTTGTTGGACTCTATCATAGTTTTATATCTTGCTTTGATTTTCATTAACATGTAAAAATGCTTATGATACATATAATAGCAAACATAAGCCTCCTTTTTCCTTTGTTTTTTATTAAGGTATCACTGATATACACTCTTATGAAGGTTTCACATGAAAAACATTGTGGTTACTACATTCACCCATATTATAAAGTTCCCCCCAAACTCCGTTGCAGTCACTGTCCATCAGTGTAGTACGATGCCAGAGTCCCTATTTGTCCCCTCTGAACTACACTGTCTTCCCCATGACTCCACACACACCATGTGCACCTATCATGATACCCCACAATCCCCTTCTCCCTCCCTCCCCACCCACCCTCTCCCACCCCTCCCCTTTGGTAACCACTAGTCCCTTCTTGGAGTCTGTGAGTCTGCCACCGTTCTGTTCCTTCAGTTTTGCTTCGTTGTTATTCTCCACAAATGAGGGAAATCATTTGGTACTTTTCTTTCCCCACTCATTATAAGCCTCCTTTTTTATAGCTTTGTAAGTCTGTATCATGATGTTAAAAAGTCACGGCTTACATAAAGGATGTAGATATCTTACTTTATTTACAAGAGTGCACCTACAGGTTGCTCATGCTCTGCACATTAATATGTAATGTATGTGGTGTTTGTGTTTCTTTACAGCACCAGATGCCTCTCTTTCGGAAGAAAATGGTGTGGGAAATTCTTCATCAGCAGTTGCTGTGAGAGTGCCCCTGGCCCAGTCCCTCCAGCTGCTGCTGATTTTTTTCCACCGTTGGATGTTTCCATATACCTCATGCATTGTGGGTTAAAAGTCCCTACGTCACCTCTCTCACAGGTACTGAGCTGTCAAGAAGTGTGTGAAGGCGTCTCACTGCACCTGAATCTTGACTTGTGTGCGGAGGGCTGCTTGCAACTCTAAGTCTGTGCCTGCTCAGAGCCCTGGACTGTATAACCCACACAAGAACAAACGCTAATTAGAATTTCTTTAAAGATTTTTTTTCCCTATGAATGTGGGAAATGCAGGATTTATTCTATGATTTGTTTTTTTCTGTGTTCACATGTATTTCTTTGCTCACTCATTTGCAAACATAATGGGCAGTGGTCATTATCTGCTACTCTTTTAGTTAACTCTAAATTACTTGTGTGAACTATTTATTTCAAATATGAAAGGCACGTTAATCAAGCTGCCAGTCCCTGCTGAAGATTGGGAGGGAAATCAGTTGGGGAGGAAGGAAGTGTTAATTAACTTCTCTACCTGGAGCTGTAAGTGGCAACTTGAAGCTGGAGGTCTTTTTTTTGAGGCTTGAAAATGCTGGGAGAAGTGCTACGGTATAGGGCCCTGATTGCCTTTCAGAGGAAGTCTGACACTACAGCATTGACATGTGTTGTGGAAAAGTGGAACTGTGGCCAAGGAACTCTGGCTATGCAAGCATCTTTAGAAGAGTGTCGTGGTCATCCTAAAGAGACTTCCCTTTCTGGAAATGAGGTGACGTGGATACTCTTGAAACTGGATTAGAATTCACTGTAAACTCTAAATCTTCATTTTCATCCCAGATCTGGTTGAGTAGAAACCTCAGAATTGTAAGGGCTGGCCTGAGCGGTTTATTTCAAAAGATACTATTCAATTTAAAACTATTTTTCCTCAAAGTGTTTTTTTTTTATATATATATATAAAGCTGAAATTAAGTTTTGTACTCATTAGGATTTACATCGTCTCATCCCACCCTCACTGAAATTTGTGGAAGAAAATTTAGTACTTGGCTCTGAGGTTGCTGATTATATAATAATCTATTTTGCATATGAAAGTTTGTATTTAGCATTTTTGTTCATTAAAAACCTTACAGTGGTTTTGCATTTTTAATTTCAGAAAGTTTAGAGTTGATCAGAACATATTTTGCAAGATCCTAGTGCCTAGTGTTGCTTTTCTGATGTAATAAAAGGATGTCTGGCAGAACTTGAAGAGTATACGCTGAAATGATTTCTAATCCTTTCCCTACTTAAACTCCCCAAACTTGTTCTGGTACACAGAAGAAAGAGGTAAAGCCAGAAAAATTGGGCATGTGTTAATGTTGTATCAACATGTCTGTCACAGAGGGCCCAGGTCACTGGTCACAGAAGCATACTATTGCAGTCAACTATCTCTGAGATGTGTGAAAGTATTGGTATAGGTCTTGCGGGGCTGTGGTATGGATTGAAACTGTTAGGCCTGCTAAATGGCCAAACCAGAGAACATGTGTGCTTAGGTGATGGGAAAGACTGCGCTGGTTGTGCTGAGTCTCCCTCAAGCTTAGGCTACACCTTCCTCCAGCCTCTGTCCCTTTCTGAAGGCTGCTGGAGCTGTGTCAGTACATTTTGGGATCAGGAAGCTGGCATACCCAAGAAAGGCCTGAGATTTATTGGGTCAGCATTATACCAAAAACCTGGTTGGCTCCCACTCAGTGCTAGTAGGTTTCACCTGAGAATTTAGCACCTTGGTTGAGATTTGTTCCATGTTGAATAAGTCCTGTTAGGAATGGCAGTTTGTATTGTGCCTAAATGAGTGCTGCTGGGGTTTAATATATTGGTATTACAAGTATTTGAGGGGCATCTTGGAGCAGCTGTCACTGAGCTTTCCATTGATGTGTGCTCTTCAGGGTGGTGGCTCTTCATGTCTCCCAGGAAATGACGAAATTGGTAGCAGCAGAGAATTAAGCTACAGAATGGCATACTACTTTAGTCTGACTTCTGAATTTAATATAAGCTATCACAGGCCGTGCTTCTCTAGGCACTTGACATGTCTCTCTTGTTGCAGAGAAACCTGTTACTAATAGAATTTTTGTATCTAAACAGTCTAGAGTAAAGCAGTCAGGTGATTAAAAATAGCTATTGGTTTTATCAGTAGCAAATTATCAACATTTAAAGCCAGTGATAGATAGATGGATATTTTTTATATCAATAGTGTGGGCATCTGAAAAAAGGTGGAATGAACTATCGTTCTTTTTTAGTAGGCAGTCTCTCCTAAAGATTGGTAAAGATAAAGAGAGAGAGAGAAAAAAAACAACTGTTGGTGAGCAAGTGTCTTTCTTATGTCTGAACTTGTATCAAAACCAGGATGTGGGTGGGAGGAAAACAGACTTGGGGCATATGGAAGATATTCTGGAGTGCCCCATATTCTACCTCAGTTACCTAAGGCTATTAGACCTGATGTTTTTCTCCTCTGAACTCCTAAGCACAACTTGGGGAATGCCATGTTGAGTGGTGGATGTTTGCCTACACTGTGAGGAGTTGCTGGGTGCTGGGACCAAAGTGTGGGTATGGGGAGAGTATGTCCTTGGAGATACAAGGAACTTCAGATACAAATAAACAAGAAACTGAAGTGATAACCTTAGTACCATCGTTAAGCTACACTGTTTATTAAGTTGGCTTTCCTGAGCTAATTGGGAACTTTATCTCTAAGGTTTCTTTGAGAAAAATTCTTAGCACCCGTGATTCAAACAAACTTTTGGTACTTATTTGTAAGTTGGGGATCTAGCTGGCCATATTGCTTTGACAGTTTTTTTCTTTTAATTTACCTAATATATACAATCAGGGGTTTGGGTGTATTGAAATAGGTGTTGATTTTATCTATTTACCAATAAAGTCATCTCTTAATTCAGTGGCTTTCAAATTTTTCTGATTGCAATCCACAGTAATAAATGTATTTTATATTGTGACCAATAACACACATACATATATATTATGTGGACATGCATTTATGTACATGTTATATATGGACATAAAGGTTTCACAAAAACATTATTTTTACTTCACTGCACTGATAGTTTTATTTCAGTTTTTTTAAAAACATGGGTTGTGACGACAGTTGATTTCTCAACCCACTAATGCATACAAATCCAGTTTGAAAACACTGCTGTAAATGATCTAACATCAAGATACAAATTATGTTTAAAACTATAAAGCTTGAGACCACAAAAATATAAAATGTGAGGCTGTTTTGAGATGAATCAATTTAAATCTAGGAAAATAGGCCAGAAGCTTTCAGACCCTCGATGGAAATACGTGTTTTAAACAATCTTTGTTCTTCAGGTTTTTATATTGGCATTTCCTAAAATATGTTAAGTAGAAATCTTGTTCTACATAGGTTGTAAAACAAAGGATTCTGTGGCCCAGTGAATGTGTGTACCCTGTCTTTTCCTCCTGAGGAATGCATAGCAAACACAACAAATCAATGTCTTAAGCTTGCATTTCTGGCAGCTTGGACATTGAACCCTTCTTTATGCAACACTTGTGGAGCTGTTCTATGGAGTACACTTGGCAACATAGATTTTCTGAAAGCGTGGACTTCAAATATACACTGGGGAAGTGCCCCTCCCACCTCAGCACACACAGTGCCTCCTCAGGGGCATATGGTGATCAGAAAGTCTGTGGTCCCACTGATATTTTTCTCTAATTGTAGGACTAATACCTATTAGTTCATAGTAGAAAAATAGAAGGCTGATACAAGGTAAAGAGTAAAAATTCTGCAAACTCACTGTTCAGAGTTAGTAACTCTAAATATTAACATTTCGGTATATATCCTGGCCTTTGGTATATGCCCTTTCTTGTATGTATGAATATGTATTGTGCATGCTTGTACATGTATATATTTTTTGTTAGAAATGAATATGGAATCATACTGTATATATGGCTATATAACCCCTTTTCCACTTAATTTATCTTGAACATATTTTCATGTCAGTAAGTACTGACATCATTTGATTGCTACAGTGTTCCACTATATGGCTCTAACTATTTAATCCAGTATTGTTGGACATACCATCTTGCACAGTGTCTGGGTTATTCTCTTAGGAGAAATTCTTAGAATTAAAATATCTGAATTTCTGAGTTAAAGTTACATATGTTTAAAAAAATCCACTGGTATTTTGACTTTATTTTTTCGGGCACAAGATGATTTGTATCTCCATTGAATGTTTTATATTTTTCATGTGTAGCTCTTCTGCACAAGTTCATTTTGAGATATCTAACATTGCAGTGGCTAGTTTATCTTTTTTTCAACTACTTTACAGAAATTTTAAGATATATACAATCATCACCCACTTTTCAGCAGTTATTAAAATGTGGCTAATCTTGATTCACTTTTTTTTTCCATAGGGGAGGGGAGGGTCTAAAGTCTGATAAAGCAAAACCTTGTCATGTCATTCTACCAAAATACTTCAGTCTCCCTACCCAATAGAAACTTAAGAAAAAAAAAAAGCCTGTCATTTTCTCACCTAACAGAATCAGATTTGCGAATATCATCTAATATTGAGTTCATACTCAAATTTTCCTAATCATAAAAAATGTTTTTTATTCTTCTTGAATCAGGATAGTGGCTGAATGATGGCCCCCAAAATGATACATCCACATCCTAATCCTTGGAACCTGTAAATATTACCATCTGTGGCAAAAGATATGATGAAGGGTCTTGAGAAAAGGAATATATCTTGGATTATGCAGGTGGGCTGAAAGTACAATCATGTATTTTTGTGAAAAAAAAAATCTGTTTTATATATACCTAAAACAGTCTGGAAAAAGATGCCCAAATATTACTAATGGTAGTCTGGACAGGCTCAGTTACTTTCTACTTTCTAAACCTGTGTTTGGAGTTAAAAAAAAAAAAAAGAGGAGGAGGCAGTGAGAAAGGGCAGCTGCTGGGAGCCCAGGTGGCTGGGAGCCAGCGGAGCAGGAGCACCTGCAGAGGGAGCGTGGCTTGGCCCATGCCTCCATTTCAGACTTCTGGTTCCAGAACGGTGAGAGAATACATTTCTGTTGTTTTACTCCTTCAGATTTTTGGTAGATAGTTATAGCAGTTTCAGGAAACTAACACAGGGTCCAAATAAAAGGCACACATTGGCTTTCGTTCTTAATCTCCTGAGTCTCTTATTTGACAATAGTCTCCCTCCTTACACTGTTATTATTGGAGAAAGTGGATTTTTCTGTGGAACAGCCCACACTATAGATTTGGCTTACAGCTCCTCAGTGGTGTTAACTCGTTCCTCTATCTTTTGTATTCCATGTAAACTGATAAGTTTGATCAGATTTGGGTTGAATTTATTAGGCAAGAATACATCATCAGTGGTCCAATTGTATGGCATCGTGTGTGGCACAAATGTCTGGTGGTCCACTTAGTGGTGCTGAGATTGACTCAGGCTGTAAGAGTTCTTACCCACCTTTCTCTTCTTGGTTTCAAATTCAGTTGAAAGATCCATTTCATTAACAGGCAAAAAATGGTGACTTTATAATTCTATCAGTCCTTCTATGTACATTACCCTGAACTCTTCTATAAAGGAAACACTTCATGTTAACTCTTTGTTTACCCTGAAAGGCACTTCACACAGGAGAGAATAGATGATGTTTTCACTCGTTGTAGTTATTCTTTCTGATGTTCAAATTGCCCCATTTTAGGTTTGCCCCCTTTCACCTCAAACTTGTTTTCCGTCATGTAGTATGGAGCAGAGATATCTGAAACTAGCCTAATTTTTACTTGTTTTTTGTTCTAGCAGTAACTTTTTTGGGGTCTGTATCCTATTAGAATTTTTGTTCTATTTAAAAAACATGCCAGGATCTATCTGAATCTTTATTTTTGTTTGGTTGTAAAAAGATCCAGAAGCCTGTGACAGAGCTCCGCAAATCTGATATCAAGCTTCCTTGCTTACCCAGTGTGATAAAGGCTCATCTTTCCTGCTTCTGAGCTGAACCTGGCCACTCATCAAAGGATTTCTTTTAGTGAGACATTTTAGAGATCAGAATTTGGGATACTATTAATGCTGTTTACTACTGGGTTTTGGTGCTTCTAGGCCTTTACAGAAGACAGATTAAGGAATTCTTTTTCTTCAAGAGAAGAAATGTTTTACTGATTTCCATTGCAAATATAAGATTCCAAGGTTATTCTTGATTTTAAACTGTAATCTTTGAAAATTTTGGTTGCTAACATCATTATTCATCTTGCCCTACAGTGTAAATAATTTCAAAATATCAATACCAGCATAACAATTAACAAGGCAATTAAAATCTTTAGACTATCCCACTAGAGACTCACAGTGAAAATACTCTTAAAATCACTAACAGTAGTTTCTTTATCTGAGCTATTATGCCATCAGCTTGACACAGTTGGTTTAATTTGTTCTTGGTGTTTAGGGATTCGCTTTTCACTTCTGTTTTAATTATGTAAAACATAAACATTAGTCCATGAACAAAACTACAAAAACAAGGCACATTCACAGTTTTGCTTGCTTCACCCTGTTCTCTTTCCCTGTGTAGATCTTACTAGCTTCTAATCTTCCCTTTTGAAAATATAGCTAGACATATACGTATTCATATTTCTTTCCTTTCTCACACTAAAGGAAGCACATTAAAAACACACTTTCTGATTAAGTTTAGTTCTGGATATTACTCATTTTCAATTCCTTTTATAGTTTCATCGTAATCCGTTGTTTCCGGATGCTGTGGTTTATTACCAGTTTCCTCATGATGGAAGTTTAGGCTGTCAGTCTTTTTCTATTACAGATAATGCTGTAATACGTGTATCTTGTGCACGTCACTTCTTATTTTTCCTAACATATCTTTAGGATAGATTCCTAGATGTGAAATTGCTGGGTCAAATATCTAGCATATATAATTTGCCACATTTTCCTCCACAGGGGTTAACATCATTTTGTTATCAACTCACAATCTTAGCTGCAAAGCCTAAAATATTTGCTGATTAGCTACAGAAAAGTGTTGTCCACTCCTGTCCTATGGCATTTCAGAGGCCTGGAAGAGGTAGTGTGGGCAGTTTTTAGTGAGCCAGACTAGGAGTGGCACAGCTCACCTCAGCTCCCACACCTCTGGCTGGAACTCAGTAACATGTCCACATGGCACTGTGAGGTGGACTAGGAGACAGCCTGGTTTGGTGGCTAGGAAGGAGAGACCATGGATCTTTGTTCTGCTTCAAGCACTCTGCCGGTTATCCATTTTTGTCCCATATATGACACCTATTTTTTTAACGTGTTTTGGAGTATCATTATTATCATTACTATATGTTGCTTCCTCACCAAGAGTAATTTTTGATATTTAAATTCAGTTTTAAATTTTGTTATAATTCAGCTCTAAATTGACTTATAACTAAACATTTCTAGTTTAACTGGTTTCATTGCTCTTAGTGCTTTATTTTTTAGTTAGTTGGAAACATTTCCAAATACTTATTTTCAAGGAGGACATAGGAATATTCTTTTTTTAAAAATTTTTTTATTAAGGTATTATTGATATAAACTCTTACAAAGGTTTCACATAAAAAAACAATGTGGTTACTACATTTACCCATATTATCAAGTCCCCACCCATAACCCAATGCAGTCACTGTCCATCAGTGTAGTAAGATGCCACAGATTCACTATTTGCCTTCTCTGTGCTACACTGTTTCCTGGTGATCCCCCACACCATGTGTTCTAAAGATAATACCCCTCAATCCCCTTCTCCCTCCCTCCCTCCCCACCCACCCTCCCACACCCCTCCCCTTTGGTAACCACTAGTACCTTCTTGGAGTCTCTGAGTCTGCTGCTATTTTGTTTCTTCAGTTTTGCTTCATTGTTATATTCCACAAATGAAGGAAATCATTTGGCACTTCTCTTTCCCCGC